AAAAAAAAAAAAAAAAAGAAAATCCTAAGTCTAAGATGATTGTTGTGGAAGAAAAAATATCATAAGAAAGAGATAATACATTTACAGTAGAAAATGTACTACCATAGCACTATACTTCTGAATACCACTAAGTCTGCATCATCTGTCACTGAGATGGATGGTCTGTCTGGAATAGTGATCAACCACAGCTGTGCCCTCAGTCTATGGTATATATCAAGCAACTATTCTTACAATGACATGACTTGTCTCTGCTTCTTGGAATACTTTCAGCATCACCAGTAGAACTTCATATGGGTCCCATGGTGTTATTCAAAGTTTATAGTATTGCAATAAATTCACGAAAAATATACAAGAACCTTGGGAGATCACTTTCTACTACCATATACAATTTATGGAGAGAAGAACTCATACAGAGATTATTAGCATCACACGGCCTTTTAAGTGGATACCTACAAGTTGAGCTCACTGCAATAGCAACAGGATGTGGCTTCAACATTATTATAACAGTACAAATATATATGTGTGTGTGTATACTATAGTTTGTGGTGATGATTTAATACTACAACTTTTTTTGTTGTTATAAAAGATGAGATCTCGCTCTATCACCCAAGAGATCAGCTCACTGCAGACTTTAACTTTTCAGTTCTTCTGGTTTTTTTTTTTTGCAACAGAGCCTCAAGCTGTCACCCTGGGTAGAGTGCTATGGCATTACAGTTCACAGTAACCTCCAACTCCTGGGCTCAAGCGAGTCTCCTGCCTTCGCCTCCCAAGTAGCTGGGACTACAGGTGCCCGGCTATTTTTTGGTTACAGCCATCATTGTTGTTTGGTGGGCCCAGGCTGGATTTGAACCTGCCACCTCAAGTGTATGTGACTGGCACCTTAGCCAGTTGAGCCACAGGCACCGAGCCAACTTTTCAGTTCTGAGCTCAAGTAATCTTCCTGCCTCACCTTCCCAAGTAGGTGGGTCTACATGCATGGGCCTCCATGCCTGGCTGATTTTTTAATTTTTGGTACAGCCAGAATCTCACTATGTTGCTCTGGCTCTAGTTTTAAATTCCTGGCCTCAAGCAATCCTCCCCCTCACCTCCCCAAATGCTGGGATTACAAGTGTGAGCCACCTTGCCAGGCCTTGCAACTTTACTTTTGTTTACATTTCTCTAGATCAGTGATTTTCAACTAGTGTGCCATGAGAGCATATAAGATGTGCCAAGAAAATTTTTAAAGATTAATTAAATTATTTTCAAAAGAAGGTCAAAGCACAATAAGTATATTCTTTTTTTCACTTTTTTAAAAATCAACATAATTTAAAGTGTGCTACAGAAGTTTAACTATGGATTCAACTGTGCCATGAGATAAAAAGATTGAAAAATATGGCTCTAGACTAAGAATGGTGCCACATATGGCCTGTGTTTGTGTAAGTTTTGATAAATTTCAACTTTTTATAATAGATTTATATATACTTTATGTTATTAATGATAAAACGGGCTATAATTTACATGTATTTTATGTATTCATGACATTCCTAACTTTTTAATTTTTTTGATACTATGCAGTTTCTAAGTTTTTTTAAATTGTTACAAACATCCAGAAAGTTTTTCAATATGTTTCTTTTAAGTGGACCTGCACAGTTCAAACCCGGGCTATTCGAGGGTCAACCACACATATTTGGTCTTCATCCTGTTTCCTGATTCCTAAAATCCTAGGAATCTTCAAAGTGATAAGTGTCTTTTTGTATGCTACTGAGTTGACTCAGGGCTGGCAGCCCAGAGGTTTCCTCTGAGGGCCCTATCCTTCCGGGCAAGCTGTGCAATATGCGCACCCACTATAGCCCCATATAAAAGGGGTCTAGTAAACTGCGGGTGCAGACACTACCTTTGCACTATCCAGGCAGGTCGCCCTGCACACCTCTGATCCAGTTTCTGGGTGCTGCCACTTACATCTTTCAGCCCACAAACATGGAGAGGCAAGAGGGGCTGATGGTTAAACTGATCAACAGCCAATGATTTAATCGATCATGCCTATGTAATGAAACTTCCATAAAAATCCAAAAGACAAAAGGACTGCGTCTGAGGAACTTCTGGACAGACAAACATGGGGAGATTCCTGGAAGGTGGCACATTTGGAAAAGACATGGAAGCTCTGGGCTCCTTCCTCCATACCCTGCCCTACTTATTTCTTCTTCCTATATTCCTTTGTAATCTGCTGTAAACCTATAAATGTAAGTGTTTTACTGAGTTCTGTGAGACAAACAAATTAACTGAACCCCAGGAGGAGTTCACAGGAATCCCAATTTATAGCCAATTGGTCAGAAGTACAGGTAAAACAACCTGGGGTTTGCAACTGGCATCAGAAGTGAGGGCAGTCTTACGGGACTGAGCCCTCAACGTGAGGGATGTGATGCTATCTCCAGATAGACAGCAAATTGAATTGAACTGAATTGAATGACACCAGCCTGGTGCCTGCTGCAGAAATGATTGCTTGCTTGGTGTGTGAATTACCTATACAAATATGGTACCAGAAGTATTTTGAGTTGTAAGACCAGAGAAAAACACTTTTTTTTTCTACTCAGCCTGTATAGTACATACTTCACGTTGGTGTTGGTACAGATGATATACTCAATTTCATCTGAGTAAGGGTTCTGGAAAGTAAAGGAGCTGGTTCTCATCCAGAGCCATTCTCGATTCTTAGAGCGGAACCGGAACATGACAGACAGCACCTGGCCTTTTAATTTCACCACCTGAAAAAGTTTTCATGTCATTAGTGAACTCCAAAAAATTTTCTTTGGAAACTAAATAAAATTTTCCCATTTCTATAACACTAAGACTCTTGTATCACTGTCCTTGATGCACCAATCTTTATCAATGTTAAAACAACATGAGAGAGAGTTGGCATGGCCCTGTCTAGCCCCATGTGCTTTAGGCCAGGATACTGGCAGGTGCTGCCACTGCTGCAGTCGTTGAGATTGCCCAGGTCTAGAGGATGGAGGTCTCCTGCGGCTGCGAGGACATCATCATGCCTAAAGCACCAAAGGGAAAAAGTGCAGGACAGAAAAAAAAGTCATCCATCCACATAGTAGAAAAGCAGCTCGAATTATGGCAGAGGCCCACAACAAGAAAAAAAGCTCAAGCGAGTCTCCTGCCTTCGCCTCCCAAGTAGCTGGGACTATAGGCACCCGCTACAATGTCTGGCTATTTTTTTGGTTGCAGCCGTCATTGTTGTTTGGCAGGCTGGGGCTGGATTCGAACCCGCCACCTTAGGTGTATGTGGCTGGCGCCTTAGCCACTTGAGCCACAAGTGCCAAGCCTCAAAATCTTCTTGATCCAAAAAAAGTGAGATATTCAAAGAAAGATGCTTGTGAATCAACTGAAAGATATTTAAATCAATTCAGCACTGAGCTAGAGCAGATCAAGTTGCATAATACCATCAAAGACAGAGAAGGCAACACTACTTCCAGGAGGCAGACATCAAGCAGACTATGGAGCGTGAACGGCGGCAATGTGAAAGTTATGGCCTTGGGAATGGAATTTTGATCTGAGGAAATTGCCAAACATTAAAATGAGAAAAAATTGTGCTAATTATGCACTTCCCAAAAAGTGATAGAGGAAAACTATCATAATTACAGGTAAAGATCTGGGGGATCCGATGAGGAAATGAGTACAGTGGACTAACTGCCTTTACCAGAATTGAAAAAAAATAATTTGAGACCTTCAAGTTATACTCACTGATTATGATATGTAATTGTCCAGATATAAGAATTTGCTATTTAATTCATCCTTTGCTGATGAGAGTTCCACTTGCAGTTCCAAAAATGGAGTTAGAATTTTCATTTAAAAATGAAGATTGGCAGTACCTGTAGCTCAGTAGACAGGGTGCCAGACGCATACACTAAGGTTGGCAGGTTTGAACCCGGCTCAGGCCAGTTAAAAAAAACAAAAAAACAATGACAACTGCAATGAAAAAATAGCTAGGCGTTGTGGCAATGCCTGTAATCCCAGCTGCTTGTGAGGCAAGAGAATTGTTTAAGCCCAAGAGTTTGAGGTTATTGTGAGCCAAGCACTCTACCCAGGGCAATAGCTTAAAACTCTGTCTCAAAAAAATAAATAAACAAATAAAACTAAAAACAATAATAAATAAAATGAAGATTGTTTTTCATTTATATTAAATTGCTAAATTATCAAGTGATTTGCAAAAATTATTTTTTTTAAAGACAAAGTCTTACTATGTCGTCCTCAGTAGAGTGCTATGGCGTCACAGCTCACAGCAACCTCAAACTCTTGGGCTTAAGTGATTCTCTTGCTTCAGCTGCCCAAGTAGCTGGGACTATAGGTGCCTGCCACAATGCTCGGCTACTTTTTTGTTGTTGTTGTTGTTGCTGTTATTGTAGTTGTCATTGTTGTTTAGCTAGCCCAGGCTGAGTTCAAACCCACCAGCCTCAGTACATTTGGCCAGCACCATAACTAATGTGCTATGGGCACCGAGCCTACAAAAACTATTTAATCTGAATTTCAGGAGGGGGGAGCACTATGACGACAAAAAATGTTTTAACTTTTTTCCTCTTATACATTTAGGATTATGTAATCTCATATTTGGGAAAATGGATAGTAACCTGTTTTCTGAAAGGCTCCTCTGGATACTTCTTGAGCAATGTTGACAACAAAATAGTCTTTCAGTAATTATGTCACACCGATGTTCCTCTTAAATATTAAGCCTATTTTCTTTTATTATAAAATAGGGGAAATGTGATATGGAATTTGTAAACACTGATGGGTTGTACATTATTATTTTCTGAGCCAGAGTTAAATGGTAAGAAAATGAACAGTGATAATGTTATACTGATTTCCCTCACTTAATCTGTTACCTTTTGACAAAGGGGATAAAATAATTTCAGGTTAACTCCTTTTGATCGTATATTATTTTCTGCTTTCTTATCACAAAGTGATAGATTTTTATTTGTGGAGACACAAGTAAAGATTAGAGAATCAATGATTTTAACTGTGTCATTTTCTCTTCCAAGAGATAGGTTTAATTGACATTTCACTCAATATTTCGAGTATCATGAAAAACACAAACATTGTAGAATTGTGTTCTTCGTAGAACTTGTTCCCAGTATCCTTTAGTCTGTTTCATAAAGGATGCAATGCAAGTCGGTTTGAGTATTTTCAAGAAAATAGAACAGTAATGCTATATGAAGTTAACTATCTATAACTACATCTTGTTAAGAGGTTATTGAAAATGTACTGTTTTACTTGTGGAAGTTAAAAATAAGGCTCAGTGCCTATAGCTTAGTGGCTAGGGCGTCAGCCACATATAATGGAGCTGGCAGGTTCAAATCCAGCCCAGGCCTGCCAAGCAACAGTGGCAAGTACAACCAGAAGGATAGCCAGGTGCTGTGGCGGGCACCTGTAGTCCCAGCTACTTGGAAGGCTGAGGCAAGAGAATCGCTTAAGTCCAAGAATTTGAGGTTGCTGTGAGCTGTGATGCCACAACACTCTACCCAGGGCGATAGCTTGAGACTCTGTCTCAAAAAAGTAAATAAATAAAATTTATTTCCATTTAAAAAAAAAGACACAAGGGAGTAAAAATTAAGAGACTAAATAAGGAGGAGATATATATATTTATCTTGTTTCTTCCCATAATCCCAAGATACCTGACCATTCTAGTCAAAGTCAAACAGGAATCACAATTACCAGGACGGAAAAGACTGTTCCTCTACTTCTTTTGGAAAGTCTGAGCTAGCTTTGTAAGTCTATATCAGAAATTTGTTAAGTTTAATGACATTAAATATACCTTCCATACTGCTCTTTAATCCTAGATTTTCCCCCTAAATCTGACAATTTCTGGCACACAAAGAGGTTTCTATAAATAAAACTAAGTTGGCTTTAGCCTTGCTTTGCTTTTTTTTTTTGCAGTTTTTAGCTGGGCTGGGTTTGAACTCACCACCTCTGGCATAGGGGGCCGGCGCCACCCTATTCCTTTGAGCCACAGACGCCGCCCTTTTGCCTTTGTTTTTTAAAAATAATTTTACGGTGACACCTGCAGCTCAGTCGATAAGGGCGCCAGTCACATACACTGAGGTAGGCAGATTTGAACCCAGGCCTTCTAAACAACAATGACAACTGCAACAACAACAAAAGCCAGGTGTTGCGGTAGGCACCTGTGATTCTAGCTACTTGGGAGGCTAAAGCAAGAAAATCACTTGAGCCGAAGAATTAGGCAGAGGTCCTCAAACTTTTTAAACAGGGGGCCAGTTCACTGTCCCTCAGACCACTAGAGGGCCGGACTGCGGCCCCGGGATGAGTTGGCTGCTAAGCAGGACAGGCAGTAGTGGCAAAAACACCCAGAGGGCTGGATAAATGTCTTAGGCAGGCTGCATGTGGCCCGAAGGCCACAGTTTGAGGATGCCTGAGTTAGAGGTTGCTGTGAGCTGTGATACCACTGCACTCTACCAAGGGCAACATAGTGAGACTCTGTCTCAATAAAATAAAAGAATAAATAAAAATAATTTTAGGGCTAGGTGCCTGTAGCTCAGCAGCTGAGGGTGCCAGCCACATACATCAGAGCTGGCAGGTTCGAATCCAGCTGGGGCCTGCCAAACAACAACAAATGCAACCAAAAAATAGCTGGATGTTGTGGGAGGTGCCTGTAGTGCCAGCTACTTGGGAGGCTGAGGCAAGAGAATCGCTTAAGCCCAAGAGTTGGAGGTTGCTGAGAGCTGTGATGCCACAGCACTCTACCAAGGGCAACAAAGTGAGACTCTGTCTCAAAAGTAATAATAATAATAATAATTTTAGGTTATTTTCATTTCTAATCTCATGGAATAGAAAATAATTTTGACTCTCCCTTCTAAATGATTAAAAAAAATAATAGCAGCTAATATTTATTTTGTAACTACTTGTGTCAATCTCTGGACTATATGCTCAATGTGCATTGTCCTATTTAACCTTCCAAACAACCCACTAAATTTAAATGTGGTTATTATATCCATTACATTCACAAGCACTTAAAGAAGTTAATTAACTTCACAAGACTTAAAGAAGTTAATTAACTTGTCTAGTATGTGCATATAAAGTAAGAGATGTTATCTAAGGCCAAGTCTATTATATTCACCAGATATTTCAGGAGTTAGGGCCTGAAAATTGTAATTAATAGCCATCTTAAACTAAGAGTTTACTTTCACTTACCTATTGATAAACTGTATGAAACCAATTTTTCTACTACAATCCACAGCTCAGTGACATATACAATATTTTAAACACTTTAAAGATAGCTCTTTGGATACAGATAAGTGAATGTAAGACAGTAAGTAGCCAAAGCCAAACAGAAATGCCTTGGACATTATCTATAGTTTCAAAGCATTAGTCTTTCCTTTTCTTTTCTTTTTTATGCGACAAATGTCTCACTTTGTCACCCTGGAGTAAAGTGCACTGGTGTCTTAACTTACAGCAACTTCAAACTCTTGGGCTCAAGAGATCCTCTTTCCTCAGCCTCTTGAGTAGTTATGACTATAGGCAGCTGCCACAATGCCTGGCTAGTTTTTCTATTTTTAATAGAGATGGGGGTCTCACTTTGCTCAGGCTACTCTTAAACGTGTAAGCTCAGGTGATCCACCCACTTTAGCCTCCTAGAGTGCTAGGATTATAGGTGTGAGCCACTGGGCCCAGCCTCATCCTTTTATACTCCTTAAAAATACAGGTTACATACAAAACAATGTATAACTGTAGTACCTGCTATTGTGCTCAGTTACTCAATGGTAAATATGATAAATATTTATTAAAACCCCAATCAGGGGAAAAGTTACCTGTTGGAAGCTGTCTCTTAGAAGCTGTTGGTCTTCAGGATGACAGAATTCTACAATATTCTTTCCTAACAGTTCCTAGAAGGGAGAAAAAAAGTAAAATATATACATTTATGGTCATCTAACTTTCCAGGTCAATCAGCTGAGAACCTGGATTTTATTTCTTTTGTCTTTATTCTAAGATTATAATAGATAAGTGTGAGGGGAAAAAAAAGACAAGAAATAAAAAAGAAAAGGAAATCTACTAAAACAAGATGAAATCTGCTAAGCGAATGGCTTCCCTAATGTTTTTCTTTTTTACAATTCATACATTTAATAAGTATTATATGTTCTAGACATAATTTACATTCATAATTTACCCTATTTAAGTGTGCAAGTTTATTATTTTTACTAAATTATACAGTTTTTATACAGTTGTACAATCATTACCACAATCCAGTTTTAGAACACGTCCACTGCCACGAGTTCCTGTGTATTCATCTGCAGTTAACCCTGCTTCCACCACCCAACCCCACTCCCAGCCAACCACTGATCTGCTTTCTGCCTCTTTAGTTTTGTCTTTTCTAGGAATTTCATATAAGTGAACTCATGTAATATTTAGACTTTTGGATCTGGCTTCTTTCACTTAGCATAATACTTTTTTATTTTTTTCTATGACAAGAGTCTTACTTGTTTGCCCTTGGTAGAGTGCTGTGGTTGTCATCCCTCACAGCAACCTCAAACTCTTTGGCTTAAGCAATCCCCTTCCTTCAGCCTCCTGAGTAGCTGGGACTACAGGCATCTCCCATAATGTCTGGCTATTTTTAGAGACAGGGTCTAACTCTAGCTCAGCTGGTCTCAAATTCCTGAGCCCAAGCAATCCACCTGCCTCCACCTCCCAGAGTGCTAGGATTACAGGCATGAGCTACTGCACCCAGGCTAGCATAATACTTCTGAAGTTTATCTCTGTTGCTGCATGTAGCAGTGGTTTACTCCTTTTTATTGCTCAAAGGTATTCTAAGACGCATATACCACAGTTAACTCATTCACAAAATGTTACTGGACATTTAAACTATTTCTACTTTTTGGCTATTACGAATAATATAGCTGTGAACATTTGTGTACAAATCTTTGTGTGAACGTTATGTTTTCATTTCTCTTGTGTAGATACAAAGGAGTAGAACTGGTAGGGTATAAAGTAAGAGAATATTTACCTTTTCAGGATACTGCCAAAATGTGTTTGTGAGGTAGCTATACCATTTTATACATCTGCCAACAATATACAAGGGACCCAGCTTCTCCACATTTTCTCCAACACTTTTTGATTATAGCTATTCTAATAGGTATATATTAGTATCTAATTGGAATTTTAATTTGCCCTTTCCTAATGATAAAAAGATGATGAGCGTCTTTTCTTGAGACAGAGTCTCACTTTGTCCCCCTCAGTAGAGTGCCATGGCATCATAGTGCACAGCAACCTCTAACTTGTGGGCCCATGCGATCCTCTTGCCTCAGTTTTTCTATTTTTAATAGAGATGGGGTCTTGCTCTTATTCAGGCTGGTGAGCATCTTTTCATGTGCCACTCATATTTCTTCTTTGGTAAATGTCAGATTTTGTACCTCTTTTACTGGCTGATTGTCTTAATGAGTTGTTTATAATCTTCTTGATACAAATCCTTTTTCAGGTATGTGACCTGCAAGTATTCTCTCTGTCTGGTCTTTTAACTTCCTTAATAATATCCTTTTAAGAGGACAAATTTTTTTTTTTTTTGCAGCTTTTGGCCAGGGCTGGGTTTGAACCCACCGCCTCCGGCATATGGGGCCAGCGCCCTACTCCTCTGAGCCACAGGCACCGTCCAAGAGGACGATTTTTTTTTTTTTGAGACAGAGCTTCAAGCTCTCACCCTGAGTAGGGTGCCATGGCATCACAGCTCACAGCAGCCTCCAACTCCTGGGCTCAAGTGAGTCTCCTGCCTTTGCCTCCCAAGTAGCTGGGACCACAGGTGCCCACCACAACGCCTGGCTACTTTTTGGTTGCAGCCATCATTGTTTGGTGGGCCCTGGCTGGATTTGAACGCGCCACCTTAGGTGTATGTGGCTGGCGCCTTAGCCACTTGAGCCACAGGCGCCAAGCCAAGGGTATAAATTTTTATAAGAACTAAATCCAATTTACTAATTTTTTCTTTAATAAATCACACTCTTTGTGTCACATAAAAAAATCTTTGGCTAACTCAAGATCACAGATATTTTCTCCTATAAGTTTACATATAATTTTAGCTCTTAAATATTTAGGCCTTTGAGTTGATTTTGTTATGGTATAAGGCAAGCTCTAATTTCTCTTCTTTCTTTTTTTTTTAACACATGAATATCCAATTATTCTATCACCATTTGTTAGACTTCTTTTCCCCACTGAATTGCTCTTGTCATCTTTGCTAAAACTCAGCTGACAAATGTGAGAACAGGCTGTGTTCCGGCCTACTGATCTATACATTTATCCTTACACCAAAAGTGCATTCTTTTTCTGGACTAGGGCTATGTTTTGGCTATCTTAGGAATTACTTACATAATTTCAACGTAAGTGAAGAAAAACAGGGGCTTAAGTATCATAAATGTAATAGCTCCAGCTCCTCACCTGTGGCTGGTAGCCAACAGTTGCCACACAGCGGTGATCCACAAAAGTGAAAATCCCTTCAATGTTGTGCCGGGAGATAAACTCTGTTGGTTGGCAAACATTACTCATGTCTGTACAGTTGGGAGAACTAGTTACCTGAGAGCAAAGAGGTAAAAATGACGTAAAATGATACCATTCTTTATAGATGTATTTCTCATCTCTTTATGGTCTCTGTATAGATCTAAGAGTTCTAATTTTAGGGATTTCTAAACATTCGCATTTTATTCAGGAAAGAAAAAATGACAATGACAATCAGAAAGGACATAAAGTCTAGCTCTGTTCCCATAAAGGTACTCTTATTATTATTATTAATTTTTAAGAGATGGGGTCTCATTCTGTGGCCCAGGCTAGAGTGCAGTGGCCTAATGACATAATGACATCTCACTGAAACCTCAAACTCCTGGACTCAAGCAATCTTCCTGCCTCAGCCTCCCACATAGCTAGTACCTTTTTTTTTTTTTTTGGAGACAGAGCCTCAAGCTATCCCCCTGGGTAGAGTGCCGTGGCTTCACAGCTCACAGCAACCTCCAACTCCTGGGCTCAAGCGAGTCTCCTGCCTCAGCTTCCCAAGGAGCTAGGACCACAGGCACCCACCACAACACCCAACTATTTTTTGGTTGCAGCTGTCATTGTTGTTTGGCGGGTCCTGTTGGATTCGAACCCACCACCTTAGGTGTATGTGGCTGGCGCCTTAGCCACTTGAATCACAGGCGCCGAGCCCCACATAGCTAGTACTAAAGGTGCCCACCACCCTGACTGAGTAATTTTTTTAAATTTTTATTTTGTAGAGATGAGGTCTTGTTATATTAGTCAGGCTATCCTTGAACTTCTGGTCTCAAGCAATCCTCCTACTTCAATCTTTGAAAGCACTGGGATTACAGGTATCAGCCACTGCACCTAGCACACACATATAATACTCTTTATCAACTTAGTAAAGTAAGAAAAAATGAATTCAACTCAAATCCACCTACTTTCATGTGGTTAGGCTATGCTTTTTATTTGGATTGATAAATTATTGTCCAAGTAGCCAAGAAACTTATCTATACTTATGAAAACAACCAAAATTAGGTGCCCATAGCTCAATGGGTAGAGTGCCGGCCCCGTGCACTGGGGTTGGCGGGTTTGAACCTGGCCTGGGCCTGCTAAACAAAAAAAAGAAGAAAAAAAAAGAAAAGAATCACAATAATTCCATTTCTCTATTGTTTGTCATGTAATGATAAAATGAAAGGATCTCTCTCTTTTGTACAGGGGCAAAGGAAATAGGTTGGAAATGGAAAATCAGTATTCACATTTTTAGAGTTTTATGGAATTCTTCATTTGTATTCAAAAAGTAAAAGAAAATTAACATAAACGAATCCTGAAGATTTCTTCTAATTGAAAAAGGATACAGATAGATGTGGAAAATTCAAACTTGCCTGCAATCTGCCAATGGCTACTAGGCAAAACTTGCTCCCCTGGCCAGCCTCTGGGTCATCATCTGGGAGGGAAACACCTTCAGGAAAGTAAAGTTAAAAGGTTTAACAGGGATCTTAAATTCAAATGCCTTTAAAAGTCAGATAGGTAATGATTCAAAATACTTTTAGATATTAAGAGGTTAGGTATAAAGCAATGATAAAAAGAAAGATAAACAATTACATAGAATTTACCATATATACCTTTCATTGTTTTAATATATATATGTTATATATATATGATTTATGTATATACATGTAATTTATATATATAAATTCATATATTTTACACCTATTAATTATAATAAACTGGATAGTACAAGTCTCACCAAAAGTATTCTAAAAAACCATGCAGGTGAAAACAAACATATAAAGATAGCCATTCTGTTACCAATATAATAGTCAGAAAACAGATGATTTACCCATCCTATGACTTTAAAAGTAAGCAAATAACCAAAAATGAAATTATACCAAACACCAATAATTACTTATGTTCCCTGGAAAAGAGAGAAGCCAATATTTTACATGGAAAACTGTACTTCCTCTCTATTCTTTGCACAGTTACCTTCTTTTTATCCAGAAAAAATAACATTACTTTGGTATACACTGAAGTATGAAAGATCACATCTACCTTAAATGTATGGTTTACATAGTATATAGAGTAAAAAATTCAAATGTCATTACCACAAATTAATTTTTTAAACTTATATTAACTACCATTTACTGGGTGCCTAAAAGATGTCAGGTAATGGGCTAGATGCCATCCTTAAGTTAAATCTAATCCTCACAATAACCCTAGAAGAGATGTACTAGCTCCAAATTATAGATGAGAAAACTGAGGTTTATAAAAGTCAAGTAATTTACCCTGGGTTATACTACCAATAAATAACAATGCCAGGACTCAAACCTAGGTTTTTCAATATCCAAAGTTTAATCTCTTTCCAAAATATGCCACCTTGCCTCTTTTTCTCTTAGTTTGTCTCTCCTGGACTCCCTGCCTCCACCAAATTCTTACAAATACCTATCCAGCAGGGAAGTAGTAAATGTGCTAAGATTCAGAAACTCTGACAAGCCAATTTAAACCACCAGCATCCCAACCACCTTTCGCACATTCCTTGTCTGATCTCAAGTTCTAATAAAGCTAATCTGTTCATGGCTTCATTTAAAAATCTTTGCAGACCTGCAGCTAATTAAGCCAACCATGCTCTTTTCTTAATGGGAGCCTGGTGTGCAATGGCTGCAAACAGCAGCCTCCTTGGTAGTATATGCAACCTGTCACTTGTACAAGTTGTTCTAAGGGACCTTGGAGACTCTCCATTCCAATACATGTTCATGTGTTAGACCTTGGGCTGTCCCCAATCTAGGCTCCAGAAAGGTATCCATGGTGCCTTTGGAAAGCCCCAGGGCACTGTGGCCAGGGTTCACATTGGCCAAGTCATCATGTCCATCTGCACTAAACTACAGAACAAGGAGTATGTGACTAAGGCCCTTCGCAGGGCCAGTTCAAGTTCCCTGTCTGTCAGAAGATTCACATCTCCAAAAAATAGGGTTTACCAAGTTTAACTCAGACAAATTTAAAGACATGGCAGCTGAGAAGTGGCTCATCCCAGATGGCTGTGGGGTCAAATACATTCCCAGTCATGGCCCCGTGGACAAGTGGTGGGCCCTGCCCTCATGAGGACTTACACTGTGCTACCTGTCATTTGTGCCTACCAATAATAAATTGTCCAAAAAAAAAAAAATACAAAAAATTAAAAATCTCTGCAGAAAATATCCCCTTTAATAAGTTGTTAGCATTAAGCCATTTTCTCCTTCTCCCTCAAAAGTCTTGGTCCTACTTTAGAAAGTTTTCCAAATTAACTGCATTCCATGCCCAATGTTTCTTTTTAACAACTGCTTAGAACGCAGGCATTCCACATAAATTATTATGAAATTACATTTAAAACTTTAAATTTGCATTTACAGCCAATATTCAGTCATTTTCAAGCCTGAGTAATCCATCTCCACAACTGGAATATAATAAACTTTTAATAATGGAAAGGAAGGAATCTGCTTTTTCTTTCCTATTTTCTTTCAGCAAAGTACATTTCACATACTAGGAAAATAATAAAATGTTAGCTAACTTTCATGAACTGTGTGAAGAGCCAACTACACCAAGGGAGAAACCACTACCCCACTTTCCTACCTGCTGGGGGCCAAGCCTTGATGTACCCTGTGCAATGGACTACCACGAAGTGAGGTTCCCCATCCTTCACAGAGCCGAGTCCATTCCTAGAAGAGTTATAGGAATCAGGAGAAAAATTCTACCTAGTAAAACTTAAAGAGCAATGCTGGCTTAGCAGCTTTAACTATAAGTTCTTGGGTGTTTAGAAAACAGGATAGATTACTAGTGGTTGCACATTTCCCACCCAAAAGTGACCAACATATTTTTTACTCTTACTAAAGCAAAGCAACTGAAAAACACTGCAGCAGAAGGAAAGTATATGGTGAAGTAGTGGAACAACTTCCTTAAACAGGATGAGCAAGAAAAACTTCAGAAGTTCAGGAAATAATGCTAGAGAAAAAAGTAACCAGGTGATAAGGGATGAAGGAAGGACTCCAGTGAGATAGGTAAAAAAGTGAGGATTTTACTTGACCATCCTTTTGGTTTTCACTCCTCAGGACCTCACCTGCATCTGTTCCTCACAAAGCTCAGTCTATTCACAGAGACTGGGTCCACAGCACTACTGCCACACCTGTGTCAATGAACAAAACAGATTAAAAATAGTCAGTTTGCACTATCAAAGAACTTTCTACAGTAAGGCTGGATACAACTAAACACAGAAAACTGGTAATGTTCCTAATAAGGGAGGATAAAGGTAAATCAAGTTTGGTATTTCTAAAACTTTTAACTGTCATAGAATTTGACATAAAAATGTTCTATATACTTTTTAAATGCAAAGATCCTCCACATCAGGAGCTAGCAAACTTTTTATTAAAGTGCCAAATAGTATATATTTTCAGCTATGTGGGCTATATATAATCTGTTGCAACTTGTCAACTCTGAGGTTATAGCATGAAAGCAGCCACAGATCACATACAAACAAGTGGGCATGGCTATGTTCCAATAAAACTTTATTTACAAATGTAGGGCTATGGGTCAGGCCTAGTGGCTCATGCCTATAACCCTAGCACTCTTTAAGGCTGAGGCAGGTGGATTGCTTGAACTCCAGAGTTCAAGACCAGCATGAGCAAGAGTGAGACTCTATCTCTAAGGCAGGAGGATCACTTGAGCCCAAGGTTGCTATTTGCTATGACACCATAGAACTCTATGGTGTGCTGTAGATTCTGTAGAAAAGATGGTGGTCCTTTCTATCAGGGCAACAGTCTCAGAAAAAAAATCAGGTGGTGGCTTGCTTACTCCTGCCCTACATTAACCACAACCTTATCTAATTACAACATTTCATTGTAATCTATCTTTCTCCTGCCTTTGTTTTTTTTTTTTTTTTTTTGAGACGGAGCCTCAAGCTATCCCCCTGGGTAGAGTGCCATGGCATCACGCTCACAGCAACCTCCAACTTCTGGGCTCAAGCGAGTCTCTTGCCTCAGCCTCCCAAGTAGCTGGGACCACAGGCGCCCGCCACAACGCCCGGCTATTTTTTGGTTGCAGCCGTCATTGTTGTTTGGCGGGCCAGGGCTGGGGATTCAAACCCGCCACCTTAGGTGTGCGTGGCTGGCGCCTTAGCCGCTTGAGCCACAGGCGCCGAGCCTCCTGCCTTTGTCTTCAAGTTAGCTATGTACCACATACTGGGATACTCCTTCCAATCCTACTTTCCCTCTATCATTTCCTTAAAATAATAAATAAAACAAATGGCTTAATATGTTCTATACTCTGTTCTACATATTTTTACATAAATTAATTCATCTAATCCTTATAACTATATAACATCAATATTAAAATAACCTCAAATTTTAGATGAAATCAAAGCACAAGGTAGTCATGTAATCTGTCCAAAATTTCAGAAAGTAGTGTCAAAACTAGGATTCAAATCCATAGAATACTACAAATTAAAACAAAATCCAGCAGCCTGAATCCAGAGGCTGTAAATCACTAAACCACATAAAGTCAAGTTTGTACCTCTTCCAGAAAACTTGAACTTACAGCTTATGACTTTAAAAGATGCCTTTTCTACCTGGATAGAAAGGACCACCATCTTTTCTACAGAATCCTAAAATGTATAGTATGCTATTTATTTACTTATTTAGAGACAGAGTCTCACTCAGTAGCCCTGGGGTTAAGTGCCATGGCATCATAGCTCGCAGCAACTTCAAACTCTTGGGCTCAAGCAATTCTCTAGCCTCAGCCTCCTGAGTAGCTAGGTCGACTGGCACCCACCACAATGTCTGGGGTCTCATTCTTGCTCAGGCTGGTCTCAAACTCCTGAGCTTTTTAGGTAATCTACCCACCTTAGCCTCCCAAAGTGCTAGGATTACAGGCATGAGCCACCATACCCAGCCCAGTATATAATTTATAAACACTAAATAAACACTAACAGAAAGAAATAAAGAAATCTCAAATTACTAACAAAAAAAGAAGAAGAAGAAGAAATGGTCTAAGTAAATGGATGTTTCCTTGTAACACAATAGAAAAAAATATAGGTCAGACTACTATGAATTAAAACAAAATCCTGTATCAAACACACTAAATAATCTGGGGAAGTTCATTTCCCTAAACCTGCTTTTTCATCAGCAAAATGGTAACCATGAATTTCAATCCTATGGGGCAGTTGTGGGGATTGAATATAATGACAGACACAAAGCACCTGTTATAGTACATGACATGGGAGGAGTTCAGTAAAATGTTAGTTCCCTTACCAAATACTTTTTTGTGTGTTAAAATCCATCTGGGTCTTGAGAGTTAAATTTAATCCAGCTGGAGCTAAGATTTAAAATTTTAACTCCTCTGACAGAAATAAAACCCATATTCCCATATAATCTTTATGATATCTATAACACTTATCCCAATAGAAAGAGAACAGAACACAAAATGGCAACTTTGAGAATATTCTCCAAAATATTAAAAACGTAAGTCCTCAAGAAAAAGAGATTACTAAAAAATTTATTCCACTGTATTACCCAAATAGTACATTATTTTCACCTGCTAACTACAATCTTGGACAAGATAAAATAAAGTTTAGCATTAATGGCAGAATCACATTTCATTCATTGGGCGTAAGTGTTCAAACATTAAAAAACATTTAGTTTTATTAAGACAAATTTAGGCCTGTGGCCTAAATAAAGCATTTTTTTTTTTTTT